ATATATATATATATGTGCACAAGTTGAGTTAATTTGGTTCAAAATGCTGTTTTTTAGTGATATTTTGCAGGTTAAAGCCAGGCTGGTTTCTACTGTTTCATTGCAAATTATGAAAACAAACATTAAAAAAAGGATATCCTGAATTATAAAGGGCAGTTTAAAGGAGTTCACATCAACAGTTGTRCGTGTATATTAAAATTAAATGCGATTCTGAAATGCGGGTCTGCTTTCAATGTAAACAAAATAGCTTAGTTTATGTAGATAAACAAACATGGCCGGTACGTTTATGTCAGTCACTTGGGCTCTTTCCGTAGGCAAACAAACACATAGGCATCCGGTCACAAGTTTTGTTTACACATTTTTAATTTAGGACGCATTAAGCATTGATTCGAGAGAAAAAAAAACTGCAGATTGTGTTTCTTGCTTTATGTTTTTTTTTTTTGTCTCTTCAATTTACGAGTACCTTTTTAAGCTGCTCTTTACTGAGGAGATTAACTCTCATTTAGAAACACTTTTCTTTGCGTTTGTATCTGTTTCAGTTGTYTAATTTTGTCAACCTCAAAGGTTTTACGGAGGAGTTTTTGCAAACTTGCGGGGTTTTTTTTGACCTAAAAAAGTGCGCCGAAACCTGTATGTGAAACGATTTTGCCTATAGTCAAAACTTTTCCTTTTTTTCACTTCACCCCCTCTGTGCACAGTATGTTCTCTGACCTAATTTCCTACCCAAAATCTTGTTACATAAAGTCATGAATAATTAGGTGCAGCTCGCTCGCACGCTGCTTCAGACCATATGCAGTGATGTGGTTGCAAACGAGAAAGTCATTGTGAGCTGCGACCTCCGGTTACACAAACATAAATAAGTTTCTCGCTATATTTTCTGCTGCGATTTGAGTCTCGGTCGAAGGACGTACAGGAGGAAGGATTTCTGTCGGACTTACACGAACAGGTGTGCAAACTGAATTTGGGCCGGTTTCACCCTCTACCACATTCCTGACAGTGTGACTGAAGTGTGTCTTGGCTCTTGGAAATCATTGGAGAGGCTCATATTTGGCAGGAGCTCCTCCTCTTCCTCCTTTCTCTATACTGCCCGGCGACAGCGTTACCATTCACCTCCAAAGAGGCGCTCTGCTGCGTGGCTCGTGTTCAAAGTGTGTCAGATTTTTTTTTAAATATATTATCTTCATGCCGGTTTTGGTTCATAATCACATTTCCTCTTCCATTGACCGACTTTTTTTTTTTGTCTCATATTTTGCTGCTATTGTATCTGRGCCGTGTCAGGCTTTTTAATCCCATGATATGGATGCAGGGATCAGTCSGTCATGCTGCCAGTCTCAGAATCAGAGCACACTCACTTGCTCTTTGGCTGCTATTTGTTTGTCACAAACGCCAAGACACACACGGACGCGCACACGCACCGTGCAGCCCTCGTGCCCTTTCCTGTCCTCACTACTATTCACACACTCGCGTTTTCCTGCTCTGACACGCCGCCGTTTCTTTTTTTTTTTTTTGCCAGTTCCTAGGAAGTGCAGCTGTGATTTGCTGTTGCCACCTGACCTGTCTACCCAAATATACAGACCCTTATGCATATGCATGCGCACGCATTCACTTTTTCTTTTCGTCTTTTGTTACACCATTTAGTCCGCTCACATTGTAGATTTTTTTTATTGCAGAAAATTGCTGCTCCGCTCTTATTTTTAATTTTTAATTTATTTTTTGTTGCAATAGAAAGAAAAGAGGCATTGCCCTCTGTGGCATTCAGTCAAAAGGGCTCATGACAGSCATAAGAGCCTCACACGCACTGTTCCTCAGCTAATATCCCATGCACCTCTTTGTCGCGCTGTTAAATTGCTTTTATTTCTCACACAAACACGCATGCAGAAATCATGACAGCTGCATCATACTCTGCCTTTTRTTCTTTTTTTTATGTCCACGCTCTTTTGCTCTTATTTCTCTCTAGGGCTGCCACAAACGATTATTTTTATAATCGATTAATCACCGATTATTATTATTTTTGATTAGTCGACTAATCGGATCATAAGTTAATTGAAAATAAAACATACAGCTTATCGCGCCAGAATGCAGCTGCTATTATATAACCATCGTTAGATTTTAGCTAAATGCTAACTAGGGCTGCCATGATTAGTCGATTAATCGACAACTAGTCGATTATTAAAATAATCGATGACTAATTTAATAATCGATTAATCGTTTTTTTGTTCTTTACTTTGTTTTTCTCTCCAAACTGCTTTTGACACCTTCCACTGCCACATCTACCTTTTTGTCCTTGACACACATGCACAGTAGTGGTAACTGGGGTAGGCCGTGGAC